CACGCGTCTCCTTGCTACTGTTGTCACTGACCCCTCCTTTGAGTCCACTGCTGCGTCTGCTCTTGTTGCTGAGCTCGTCGACTTCGCTCCTCGCTGTCGTCTAGACTACGCTCCTAGTCTTGTTGCTGAGTCTGCGTCAGTCTGTCCTCCGTCCGTCAGGGGTGAGTGTGCTCTTAGCACGGACGTCCTTGAGGACAGGCAGGAGGAGTTTCAGTGTCTGGCTGCTGCTTCACCTCATCTCGCGTCTGTACTGCTTGCCCCTGAGGGAGACCCGGATGCACTAGACATCCCGACTCCGCGCTCTTACGCGAAGGCCGTAGAGGGTCCCTACTCCTCTCAGTGGAAGGCAGCTATGGATGCAGAGATGGCTTCCTGGAAGTCCACAGGCACCTACGTTGACGAGGTTCCCCCTCCTGGGGCGAACATTGTCAGTGGGATGTGGATCTTCAGGGTGAAGCGGCCGCCGGGCTCTCCACCTGTCTTCAAGGCGCGGTACATGGCTCCTGGCTTCAGTCAGCGGCAGGGAGTTGACTACTTTCAGACCTTCTCTCCCACCCCGAAGATGACCACTCTTCGGGTGCTGCTGCACATAGCCGCTCAGCGCGACTACGAGCTTCACTCTCTTGACTTCAGCACTGCTTTCTTGTAGGGTAGCCTGCACGAGGAGATCTGGCTGCGCCGTCCACCTGGCTTCACTGGGACTTTCCATCCTGGCACCTAGTGGAGCCTCCGACGGCCAGTCTACGGTCTCCGCCAGGCACCACGTGAGTGGCACGACACACTGAGGACTACGCTTGCGGCTCTTGGGTTTGCTCCCTCTACTGCTGACCCGTCGTTGTTTCTGCGCACCGACACTTCTTTGCCGCCGTTCTACATCCTCATGTACGTCGACGACTTGGTCTTTGCCACAGCTGACACTGCTGGACTCGCCCACGTTAAGTCCGAGCTGCAGAAGAGACACACGTGCACAGACCTGGGTGAACTGCGCAGCTACCTTGGCTTGCAGATCACCCGGGACAGAGCACGCCGCACCATTACCCCGACTCAGTCACACATGGTGCAGCAGGTCCTTCAGCGCTTCGGCTTCACGTACTCCTCGCCTCAGGCCACTCCTCTGTCTACTCGCCACTCGCTCTCAGCTCTGCCTTCGGATGAGTCCGTAGAGCCAAGTGGCCCGTACCCAGAGCTTGTTGGCTGCCTCATGTACCTGATGACCTGCACACGACCTGACCTTGCATACCCTCTTAGCATCTTGGCACGCTATGTTGCTCCTGGGAGACACCGACCAGAGTACATGGCTGCAGCGAAGAGGGTGTTGCGCTACTTGTGCAGTACGTCGGGCATGGGACTAGTGCTTGGAGGGCGGAGTCCCGTGGTCCTCATTGGGCACGCGGACGCTTCTTGGGCTGACGACCAGACTACGCAGCGGTCGTCGCAGGGTTACACCTTCAGCCTTGGTTCCGGCTTTGTTTCGTGGCGAGCTACTCGCTCGTCTTCTGTTCTCGGCTCCAGTTGTGAGGCTGAGATCTACGCCGGGGCCATGGCTGCTCAGGAGCTTCGCTGGCTCACCTACCTGCTGACTGACCTTGGAGAGCCTCCTCGTTCTCCTCCAGTGCTGTACGTAGACAACAAGGCCATGCTGGCCTTGTGTGGAGAGCAGCGCCTGGAGCACAGAACGAAGCACATTGCTCTCCACTACTTTCTTGCTCGTGAGCTGCAGCAGCGTGGTTAGTTGCGACTTGCGTACGTGGCCTCTGAGGCCAACACTGCTGATGTTTTCACCAAGGCACTTCCGCCTTGTGATCATCAGCGTTTCTGTACTCAGCTGGGACTTGTCCCAGTCTTGCCTCAATTGCTCACCTCTTGACCTTACTTGTACTCTTGCATATATATATACCTGCTCTTGCTTGTTTAGACTTATATATATATATATATATATGTGCACTCCTGCATGTGAACTGGCCTTGTGGCCTTGACCTTGTGCTCGGACTGTGTGGTGACTTTGTGATCCACCCTGAGCTTGCTTTGCTTTGCTTTGCTTGACTGGTCTTGTGACCCCTCGTTCTCCCCCACTTTGCCTATGGGGGTGTGTCAGAACATCATAGCTTATGCATATTGTGTAGGCTATAGTGGGGTAGCCCATAAGGGGTACAACCCAATTAGGGTTAGTACTTGTACCCAACTCTTTCATAGTTGATTCATTCTCGTTCTCATTTTCACACGCCGGTCGTGTTGCCGAGCTTTCCCGTGTTAATCAGTTCTGCATCGATGGAAACGCAACGCAAATGAGGTCATTGTGAGCGCTACCAGAAATCGATGACATTAACGCTTAAAAAAAAAGAAAAAAAAAACAGCAAAATACTGAAAACGAGTACGTACCTGTGAATAGACATCGAGAGGGGTAGAAAGAGAGGCTAACGTGTCAGGATGCTGTATTTGTCTAGCCTGGAGTGGGGTACTCTATAGCGAGTACAGCCCAACTTAGAGTTTCCTATATGTACTCAACTGCTTGCTAGAGCAACTCCTCTCTTTCTGCTTCTAAACTTTCTGCTTACCTCTTGACATGCTATCAGAGCAGGTCGACCCTCTTGGGTCGATCCTGTGGGTGGGCCCCACCCGATGCTTCCGCTGCTCTACTGCCTGTAGCGCACCCCGGGCGCGTGCTGTTTCCTACCTGCCGTGCGCTCCGGACGCGCAACGCGCGGCGGTTTTCTGCCCCGTCGAACCGCGCGTCGCCCCCTGTCGACCGTCGCATCGCCCCCCGTCGCCCGACGCGGCCCGCGCGACCTGCGCCAAGCCTATGCGCGGCCCGTACGGGCTGCGCCAGGCCCGCGCACGACCCGTACTAGCTGCGCCAGGCCCGCGAGCGGCCTGTATTGCCCGCGCGCGGCCCGTACGGGCTGCGCCAGGCCCGCACGCGGCCTGGGCAGCCCGCGTGCGCCCCCCCCTCCCGTCACCCGCCGTGGCGCCCTCGGGGGGCCCGCGCCCTGCTCCTTTGTGGCGCCGAGGAGACCCCCCACCGCCTCCCTTTCCCTCCGTGATACGCCTGTGCTGCTTCCCGCGCTCCTGCCTGCGTTAGAGTTTGGGGGTGGCGGGCATGGGGGTGAACGGTGTGGGTAACCTGCAGCTCCTCCTCCTCCTCCGTCTCCCACTACTGCAGCTGCCGCTGAGGGGGGTGGGTGTGTGGGAGCCGAGGGTTTAGGGTTGAAGGGGGGTGTCGTGGGAGTGGAGCTAGGGGTGCAGCAGGGGGTGTGTGATAGGGGCGTGGGGCAGCTGGGGGAGGTTGAGTGGAGGCAGCCGTCGTGTCTTCAGCAGTGCCAGTAGTCCAGAGGCTACAATCTCCGGTAGTCGCTAGTTGCCTGTAGGTCAGTTGCTCCAGTCAGGAGGCTACAATCTCCGCAGAGCCAGTTACTCCTATAGTCCGGGCCTTTGCTTCGGTAGCCACTGAGCCAGCAGCTCCTGTGTGTCTGCAGCTTCAGCAGTCGCCTCCCATCTTCTCGCCCCCACAGGCTCTCCTCCTCTTCTCTTGTCCTCTGTGATAGCCTCTAGCTTTGCTTATCATTGTGAACTATTGCTATGCATGCTTGTTGTGCTGATTACACCCCATTTTGGCTACCGGGGTGTGTCAGAATGCTGTATTTGTCTAGCCTGCAGTGGGGTACTCTATAGCAAGTACAGCCCAACTTAGGGTTTCCTATATGTACTCAACTGCTTGCTAGTGCAACTCCTCTCTTTCTGCTTCTAAACTTTCTGCTTACCTTTTGACATAAAGAACGACTTACGTAGTCGAGGGCGTCTGGAATGAGGAAAGCGTAGAGAAAACGAGAATGGGTTACTAAGTCTAAGGAAGCAGGCTGAGGTAAACTGAGGAGAAAGAAAAGTGCGAGGTGGGAGATGCGAGGAGAGAACGACGGGGGGATTGGAAAGAGTGAGTGCTGCTTCTGCTGGGTGGGTTGTGCTGTTGCGGGGGGGAGGTTGCGCAGATTGCGGTTGTAGCAATTGCGCGCAGGTTGCGGTTGGAGCACTTGCGCTGCTGGCAGCTGCAGCAGCTGCGCAGTTGGCAGTTGCAAGCGCAGAAGCTCTTCACCAGCGCCGTTGCGCAATAGCAGCAGCAAGTGCAACAGCTGTACAGCAATTGCGCAACTGCGCCTAGACTGTAATCTGGCGCAAGTGCGCTGTGTGTACAGTTCAGCTGCACGATGCCCAGCGGGCGATGAAGAAAAAGAACCGATCGCAACAATCCTTATCGCCAACTAGGTGGGGATGTAGATATACACCAGTCGCGGAACACATCTACGATGACGTGTTCGCAAACTTGACAAGCAGAATAAGCTAGAATGACGTGTAACAGTAATGTGCTGGATTGACCACTGCGATGGCCCGTTGTACATCACCATTGCTTCCTAAGATTGCACAGTGAATGCGAAACAATAAAGCACTCGATAGTGAGAAGACTGAAACGAGAATGAATGAACTATGAATGAACTGAGTACAAGTACTAACCCTAATTGGGTTGCACCCCTTGTGGGCTACCCCACTATAGCCTACATAATAGGCACAAGCTATATGTTTTGACACACCCCCATAGGCAAAGTGGGGGAGAACAAGGGGTCATAAGACCAGTCAAGCAAAGCAAAGCAAAGCAAGCTCAGGGTGGATCACAAAGTCACCACACATTCCGAGCACAAGTTCAAGGCCACAAGGCCACTTCACATGCAGGAGTACATATATATATAAGGCTAGACAAGCAAGAGCAGGTATATATATATGTAACAGTACAAGCAAGGTCAAGAGGTGAGCAAGTGAGGCAAGACAGGTACAAGACCCAGCTGGGTGCAGAAGCGCTGATGATCACAAGGCGCAAGTGCCTTAGTGAAGACATCAGCAGTGTTGGCCTCAGAGGCCACGTACGCAAGCCGCAACTGACCACGCTGCTGTAGCTCACGAGCAAGGAAGTAGCGAAGAGCAATGTGCTTTGTTCTGTGCTCCAGTCTCTGCTCTCAACACAAGGCCAGCATGGCCTTGTTGTCTACGTGTAGGACCAGAGGAGAACGAGGCGACTCTCCAAGGTCGGTCAGCAAGTAGGTGAGCCAGCGAAGCTCCTGTGCAGCCATGGCCCCAGCGTAGCTCTCAGCCTCACAACTGGAGCCGAGAACAGAAGACGAGCGAGTAGCCCTCCACGAAACAGAGCCGGAACCAAGGCTGAAGGTGTAACCCTGTGACGACCGCTGCGTAGCCTGGTCGTCTGCCCAAGAAGCGTCAGCGTGCCAAGTGAGGACTACTGGACTACGCCCTCCAAAAACTAGCCCCATGCCCGACGTACTGCACAAGTAGCGCAATACCCTCTTCGCTGCAGCCATGTGCTCTGGTCGGTGTCTCCTAGGAGCAACATAGCGTGCGAGAATGCTAAGAGGGTATGCAAGGTCAGGTCGTGTGCAGGGCATCAGGTACATGAGACAACCAACAAACTCTGGATACGGGCCACTCAACTCTACGGACTCATCCGAAGGCAGAGCTGAGAGCGAGTGGCGAGTAGGCAGAGGAGTGGCCTGAGGCGAGGAGTACGTGAAGCCGAAGCGCTCAAGGACCTGCTGCACCATGTGTGACTGAGTCAGGGTAATGGTGCGGCGTGCTCTGTCCCGGGTGATCTGCAACCCAAGGTAGCTGCGCAGTTCACCCAGGTCTGTGCACGTGTGTCTCTTCTGCAGCTCGGACTTCACGTAGGCGAGTCCCGCAGTGTCAACTGTGGCAAAGACCAAGTCGTCGACGTACTCGAGGATGTAGAACGGCGGTAGAGAAGTGTCGGTGCGCAGAAATAGCGACGGGTCGGCAGTAGAAGGAGCAAACCCAAGAGCCGCAAGCGTAGTCCTTAGTGTGTCGTGCCACTCACGTGGCGCCTGGCCGAGACCGTAGACTGGACGCCAGAGACTCCACTGGGTACTAGGAGGAAAAGACCCAGTGAAGCCAGGTGGGCAACGCAGCCAGATCTCCTCGTGCAGGCTGCTCTGCAAGAAAGCTGTGCCGAAGTCAAGAGAGTGCAGCTCGTAGTCACGGTGAGCAGCAACGTGCAGCAGTACCCGAAGAGTGGTCATCTTCGGGGTTGGAGAGAAGGTCTGAAAGTAGTCAACTCCCTGCCGCTGACTGAAGCCACGAGCCACGTAACGCGCCTTGAAGACAGGCGGAGAACCCGGCGGCCACTTCACCCTGAAGATCCACATGCCACTGACGATGTTCGCCCCAGGAGGGGGGACATCGTCAACGTAGGTGCCTGTGGACTTCCAGGAAGCCATCTCTGCATCCATAGTTGCCTGCCACTGAGAAGAGTAGGGACCCTCTATCGCCTCCGCGTAAGAGCGCGGAGTCGGGATGTCAAGTGCATCCGGGTCTCCCTTAGGGGTAAGCAGTACGGACGCGAGATGAGGTGAAGCAGCGGCCAAGCACTGGAACTCCTCCTGCCTGTCCTCAAGGACGTCCGTGCCAAGGGCACACTCACCCCCGACGGACGGAGGACAGACAGACTCAGACTCAGCAACAAGACTAGTAGCGTAGTCTAGGCGACAGCGAGCAGCAAAGTCGACAAGCTCAGCAACTAGGGCAGACGCAGCAGTGGACTCAAAAGAAGGGTCAGTGATGACAGTAGCCAGGAGACGCGTGACAGTAGGACTGGCAGCACGAAGAGAGTCCGACCCCGGGTCGGCAATTGCAGGAAGAGAGGACTCAGGAGGAGAAGGCAAAGGGGCACGCAGAGGAGCAATGGACGGACGCAGAGACATCCTGTGCATGCCAGGGACAGGAGGAGGACGCTGACGCGAACCACGACCACTAGCGCGAGCAGCACGGACAGGCGACGCAGGGCGAGACGCAGGCTCACCACGCTCAGTAAGACCTCCAGTAGGACCAGTGTTGGGAGAAGGAGCAGACAAAGGGGAGGTAGGCTGCAACTGTAACTGTGACGGGACTGGCTGTGGACACTCTAAAGAAAGAGGACCAGTAGAAGGCGGAAGACCAAGAACCTGCTGCAGGAGTGGAACGAAGTACGGTCGAGGCCGCGCGGCGACGCCAGACACAGCAGGTACAGCACGAGTACCCCTAGCAGGAGCACCTGCTCCAGCTGCACCACCAGCAGCGCCAGAACCTCCAGCAGTACCAGGAGTACCCGCAGTAGGACCGCCAGCAGTAGTCTCAGCTCCAACACCCTCAGCAGCACCAGCTCCAATCGAACCCGCAGGCCCAGTAGCTCCTGTACTCCCAGGACGAGCACAGCCGGGACCCACGACAGCAGCACCCTTAGTAGCCAAAGAACCTCCAGCACCAGCAGCACGCCTCCAGCGCCGGGCAAACCACTCGCGCAGCTCCCGTGGAGAGAGTGGCTCCCGCAGAGACGAAGCACCCGGAGAACCTCCAGGCGGAGCACCTCCAAGCTCATCACCCCCAGGCTCAGCACACCCAGGCTCAGCACCCCCAGGCTCAGCACCCCCAGGCTCAGCACCCCCAGGCTCAACATCCCCAGGCGCAGCACCTCTAGACTCAGCACCCTCAGGCTCAGCACCCCTAGTCACAGTACACCTAGGCTCAGCACCCCCAGGCTCAGCACCCCCAGTCGCAGCACCCCCACGCTCAGCACCCCCAGGCTTGGCACCCTCAGCAGCACCAGAGTCACCAGTGACATCGATAGGCTCGACTGCGTCTACCTGGGACACACCTGAAGGGGACGGACCCTGAGGGGGGAGGGGGTCTACTGGAGGGGGACCTGGTACAAGGAAGAGCGGCAGCGGGGGGAGGGACGGAGTGCGGTAGGGGAAGAGGCGGTAGTAGGGGACCGACTCGTCAAACGTGACGTCCTGGGAGGACAGAACACGGCGAGAGGTGGGGTGGTAGAACTGGCACCCAGGCGCGTCAGGGGGAAACCCCAAGAAGACGCAAGGAGCAGCACAAGGGGACAGCTTGTCCGCAGACAGGTCGCGGACAAACGCCCGAGATCCCCAGACCCGGAACGCCGATGCATCGCCAACCTTCCCTGTCCACAGCAAGGCTGGGGAGGTCTCCAACTTGGAGACCCTGGGGTGTAGGTTGATCTGATGCGCCGCGTACCTCAATGCAAACGGCCACAGAAAATGGGGAGCAGCCGCATGCATCATAGACGTACGAGCGACGTCCATGACCATGCCAATGCGGCGCTCAGCAATCCCATTTTGTTGCGGGGAGTCCGGAAGCGTGAAGGTCTGACGTATTCCTCGTGCGCGACAGTAGGCTCTCAGAAGGCTAGAAGAAAACTCTCCGCCTCTGTCCGAGTGCAGACGCAGAACAGTAAAGTCCGAGCCAAAGCTCTGCCTGAGCTGGAGACGAGCTGCGCGGATCGAGTCGATCAGCACCTCAGTGACATCACTCTTGCTGCGCAAGGGGAAGACTGCGGTGTAACGCGAGTAGTCGTCAACAACGAGCAGGAAGTAGCGCTCGTGACCCTGTCCACGGATGCAGGCTGGGCCCCACACGTCCATGTGAAGCGTCTGCAACGGGGCCTCTGTCGGAGGAAACTAAGAGGAGTGAGGGGCAGCCCGCTGGCGCCCCTCTACACAGGAGACACAGGTAGGGCCAGGGCCCTGAGGAAGGGGAGGAAGGGACCGGGGGAGACCAGAAACAAGAAGACGGGAGGTCATGCCTCTGAGCCGAAGCAGAGAGGGGTGACCAAGGCGGTGGTGCCAGAGGAGAGTCTCGTGAGACAGGAGACGACACGAGCAGGGGGCAGACTCAGGACCAGACCTGGACGCTGCAGCAAACACCTGACCCGATGCAGCTACCCTAGCAGACGCAGCAACCGGGGGAGATGCAGTGGTCAGTGTGTACAGGCTCGACCCTGGCCGACGGGTAAACGTAGCCAGGTGTCGGCCTGTGCTAGCCTCTGTGCAGTGCGTCACACGCTGACGTGCAGGAGTGAACTGGTGTACTCCCCCATCCTGTAGTTCAGCACCACTCACCAGGTTCGTAGAGAACGAGGGGAGGTAGAGACCAGACAGGGTGCCAGAGGGAGCCGCCGGACACGGGAGGACAGTGGAGAAGTGAGACAGGACTAGACCCCCAGAGGGGTCAGCCTGAGACACCGCAACAGGCTGAGTGAGCGGCGTGAGTGTGGTGCGGTCTCGAAAGAAGGAGCGAGAAGCCCCTGAGTCAAGGGTGAAGGTGAGGGAGGCCGAAGCCGACGTAGAACCTGAGAGCGCAGACTCACCAGTTCCTGAGGGCGCAGACGCACTAGCACCTAGAGCAGCAGCGTCGCAAGCACCTAGGGCAGCAGCCTCACCAGTACCTAGAGCAGCAGTCTGAATGCCCGGATCAGGCGGGAAACACCGGTAACAGTCACCCTCATCACTCATAGACACAGCATACATGGCAGAAAGGATAGCATCAAAATCAAGATCATAGATGGCAACTCCCGCCCTAGACAACTCGCCCCAGCGAGGGATCTCTGTGGCCTCCGGGAACTGGTAGCGCCACGCGTCCGTCAAGCGGCCAAAGCAGCGCTGGGTGGGGTGCGCACCGCCACACTGCTCACCCGCACGGTCGCCGGTGCGCAGCACGTAGGTGCACGGACCAAAACCCCCACCCCGCTGGCGCGCAGTGTACCACTCACGGAGCTGCTGAGGGGACAGGGTCTCACGACCGCGCTGCTGTTGCTGGCGCGGACCACTACCAGAGCCACTCCTCTGTGTAGACCCGCGACCAGCTCCACCGCCACCCCCGCCGCCTCCGCCGCCTACGCCGCCTCCGCTACTACCGCCACCTCCGCTGCCTCCTCCACCGCCACCACCTCCGCCACCTCCGCTTCCACCGCCACCGCCGCCGCCGCCTCCACCTCCACTGCCGCCACCGACACCTCCACCCCCACCTCCACTCCCACCACCACCCCCACTCCCCCCGCCGCCTCCACCTCCACCTCCACCGCCCCCGCTCGCTCCTCTAGTGCCCCTGCCCCCCTTGCCGTTGCCAGAGCGGCGTCTCCCGCTAGGGGCAGACGCCGCACCGACCGACTCAAGACCAAGGAGGTCGGCCGCAGCAGCAGAGGCAACGGAGGGCAGAAGGGGGGAGGGGGAACACCCCTCAAAGATGGGGGTGCGCGGGTCACCACGAGAGGCCCATACAGCGACTATGCTCTTCTCGGCCGCTAGGAGGGACTTCTCGAGGAGGTCAATAGTGAGAGTGGTGGGACTGACTGAGAGGAAGTGGTCCCTGACTATGCGAAGGGAGTCAGGGAGGCGAGTGACTAAGTAGTAGAGAGTGATGTACATGGGGGGGGGGGTTCTTGGCGCAGAAGTCAGCAGGAAGCGCAGCGCGGTAGCGAGTGTCACTAGTGCGGAGGTGCGTAATGAGGTCAGCGACTGTGGGAAAGGCAGCAAGGTCAGGGAAGAGGTACGGTAGCATGAGGCGACTCAGTGCAGCAGTGGCAGGGGAAGAGTAGCGCGCAACTACAGCGTTGTACAAGGTCTGAGCACTCTTGTACTGACTAAAGTGCGCGCGCTCAGTGGTAGGAAGGTGGCGACGCACAGCAAGACGTGTAGCAGCACCGCGAGTGGCCCACTGTGAGCGAACAGTGGCGTCGGCATCGGCAGCAGGGGCAGGGGAAGCACCAGAGGTGAGGTCAAAGAGGGAGAGACCGTCTGCCCTATCGCATTGTAAGAACAGCTGCAGGTCATCTACCTAGACATCAAAGTCAATGGCCCGACCCTCAGCGTCAAAAGTGAGAACACTGGGGGTAGCCATGACAGCAGTAGACTTGCAGCGCTAACTGTAGAGCAGGGGCAGTGCGGTGACAGAGGCGCTGCGCTCACCAGACAGGGCGGTTCGGGCAGCTCGGGCGGCTCGGCAGTTACTGCAGCTCGGCGGCACCCGCGGCTCGGCTCCTCAGCTGCTCAGTCGGCTCGGGCGGCTCGGGCGGCTCGGCTGCGTAGGCGTTCGGGCGGGGCCGTAGGTAGGACGGCGGGGCCGGGTTGAAGGTAGGGCGACGGGGCTGGTGCGAAGGTAAGGCGACGGGCCCGGGGCCGGGCCGTAGGTAGGGCGACGGGGCCGGGGCCGGGTCGTTGGTAGGGCGATAGGGCCGGGGCCGGGCCGTAGATAGGACGACAGGGCCGGGTCGAAGGTAGGGCGACGGGGCCGGGTCGAAGGTAGGGCGACGGGGCCGGGTCGAAGGTAGGGCGACGGGGCCGGGTCGAAGGTAGGGCGACGGGGCCGGTGCGCAGGTAGGGCGACGGGGCCGGGGCCGGGCCGCAAGTAGGGCGACGGGGCCGGGTCGACGGTAGGGCGACGGGGCCGGGGCCGGGCCGTAGGTAGGGCGACGGGGCCGGGGCCTGGTCGTAGGTAGGGCGACGGGGCCGGGGTCGCAAGGGGGGGGCGACGGGGCCGGGGTCGCAGGTAGGGCGACGGGGCCGGGGCGCAGGTAGGGCGACGGGGCCGGGGCGCAGGTAGGGCGACGGGGCCGGGGCCGTAGATAGGGCGACGGGGTCGCTAGAGTGATGAATCAGGGGCCGCTAAGGCGGCTCGACGAAGTCAGAGAGGGGAGCGCGACTCGGGCTGAGCGCGCTTCGGGCAGGAAAAAAAAATATTTTCGACTTGGTGGGCCCTAGGCACAGTTCCCACGAGGGAACCTGCTCGATACCATGAGAAGATTGAAACGAGAATAAATGAACTATGAATGAACTGAGTACAAGTACTAACCCTAATTGGGTTGTACCCCTTGTGGGCTACCCCACTATAGCCTACACAATAAGCACAAGCTATATGTTTTTACAGATAGTTGCCTCTCTTACTTAGATTCCAGCTTCTAGGTGCCACAAAGTATCACAAATTGTTACGAACATAAGCGGTATTAACCCTATGAACCAGATTTCAACCAAAATATCTAAATGTTTACTAATATCCACCAATATACTTACAAATAAATATAGTTTCTAGCTCGTTTAAAGTCCTCAAACATGAGTAATTTAGACAAATTATATTTATTGGTCTCACCTATAATGTAAATCTTTCGATTTATCACTTTCTTCTTAAACAATAAATTATTGCAAAAACTATCATATCTATGGTAACGGAATATACGATTGATACTGACTTAAAAAACGTGACAACAAATAATGTAGCAATGAATGATAGGTATGGACGATATATATTGCTCACATGTTTGCATTGTTTAATTCATGTTGAGAGAGAGAGAGAGTGTTATAGAGAGAGAGAGGGAGAGAGAGAGAGAGAGAGAGAGAGAGAGAGAGAGAGAGAGAGAGAGAGAGAGAGAGAGAGAGGCCCTAGGAGCTAGTCCTTAGCCTCTCCAGCACTCTTCAGACTAGTATAAAGTGCCCCTCTGCAGCTAGTTCTCTTCATTGTTCGATTTCCTTTTCATTTGTTTCTCCTAACCGAGCGGCTCGCGCCGGCCGCATGAGGGAACAACAAGCACACAACACACAGAGTTGCTCGCAAAAGGTATACAAACATGGCAAGCCCTACAGTGGCCTAGCCGCGCAAACCACTAATGGCAGAGCCGGAGCCCGCGCCTACATGCGGTGAGCTCCTAGGGCGTGAAGAACGCCCGTCAGGGAGCGCCACAGCTCCCGGACCACAAGCGTGCTTGCGCCGATCGCGGCGGCTCCAGACCCAGCACGCAAATGGCGCCGCAAGCCGCGCACAGCCTCATCAAGCGGCCCCGCCGCCGCAACGCCTCCCTCGGCGGGCGCAACCAGCACGGGCGCCAGCAGCCCTGCAAGCTGATCGGCGGCGTCCAGACAAGACTCGCGTTGACGATCCAGGAAAAACTCTAGGGGGGCCGCAGGGAGGGACGAATGAGCGACAACCTGTATCAGAAGCAGTGCGTGAAAGCTCTCTGCGAGACGGAAGAGCTGGCCGAGGGTCGCCTCCGGAACACGGGCCTGAGGGGGTTGCAGCGCCTGCGCAAGGAACTGGAATGGCTCCGCAACGGCAAGAGGAGCCGGGCCAACTGCCGTCACCGCTCCGCCTCCCACAACCACAAATTCTACTCCTGCCACAGGCAGGACTGGCGGCAAATGCAACCGCGACCCTGGAACGGGAGCAGTCGCAGCAGCAGCGGGAGGTGATGGGGCCGGAACACGGGATTGGACGAGTACAGCAGGAGGCGGAACCTCAGGAGGCGCCGCCTGACGCTGAGCGGCATGGGCGACGGCAACGTGCGAGCTGCCTTGTGTCAGAGCAGCCCTCTCTTCACGCATCGCGGTCGTTACCGCACGTTGCAGATCCGCCATCCTCACGGGCGGATCATACGATCCTCCTCCATTGCGACCACGAGAACCCCACCAGCCACCGCGACCACCACGGTGAGCCTGCCACTGACCCGACTGTTGATTGCGCCGGGGAGAATTCCGCCGGCGCCGGGAGGACGCCCGATCCTGTTGGGGCGCTGGAGAATGGGGGCGAGATAGGCGACGGTCCGGCGAGGGAGGACGAGACTGCGACGCTGGCTGCGTCTGCTGAGCCACAAGAGGCGCAACGGGAGCAGACGGGCCCGGTGCAGGGGACACAATCAACTGCGCCGGGCCGCCAGTGGTGGCGGACGCCGGCTGCGGGGACGAGGCAGGCACAGAAGTCTGCGGCTCGGGGCCTGAAGCTGGGGGCCCAACGGGAGCGGGAGCCAGGAGCGCGGCGTCAGCCCTTGACGGGCCATCAAGTGGAGCCTGGGGAGCAGTTGGCGCGGACGGAGCGGATCGCTCAGCAGCGGCAGGAGCCACAGAATGAGCGGCAGCTGCGGCAAGGGGAGCCACGGGTTCGAGGCGAGGAGGCTTTTCAGCGGATGTTATCGAGGGCTTCGGAGCCAGAGGCACCGGGGGCTTCTTCGCCGTGGTTGCCCTTCCGGTCTTAGACTGAGGCTTGGCGACCACTGCTGACCAGGCGGCAACGCGCTCTGGCGACGGCTCAGGAGCTCCAGCAATCACCATCACGAGGTCGGGCAGCACGGGGAGAGAGGAGGCAGGCGGTTAGCGGAACAGGCGGAGGGCCGGAGAATGGGTTTCAGGCTGCGGGACGTCGGGCTTTAATTGCTCTGTTAGCGGCTAATGCAGAAGGGGACAGAAATGACCCCTCTTATACTACGGGAGCGGAGCCAGACAGTGAAAACGAAGACGGAAGCGACGGAGCGGAGGCAACAAGAGTAGGGACAGGGAGGAGAAGCCCTGAGACAGCCAATTTACCCACAGCGGGAACAGAAGGGCGTGCAGGGCCTCTGGATGCCGATCGGACGGATGAGAATCCAACTCGGCAGCAATCAACAACACCGAGTCGCGCACGCAGACATCGGACCGCTCCCCTCCACCCTGTGTCAGGATTGGCCCCACAGCGCCCGCGCTACTTTTCGCCAGTGGAGCTAGCGGAGATGGGGGACAGATTCACTGACATAGCGAATTGGGACATCTCCGCCCTCTGCGACAGTCGCCAACCGCCGCTGTCAAGACGATTACCGCCTAACCTGTGCCAGTTATTCTCGCTGGCACTCCTGACCCCGCTACTTCACCTCTTGCGAAACCCTGACTCCGAAGCGGGTTGGAAACTGCTTCTCTTCCTCCCGCGTTTGACCCTTCGCCAGGCTTCGCCAAAGCACCCAAATTGGCCACAAATCAAGGCCCGTCTTCGGGCATTCCAGCGAGGCGAGTGGTCACAGCTCTACCGGGAGGCGATAAACGCGGTCAACGCCCCTCCGCCCCCACGTCACCAACCCGATGTGACAGGTGTACTGAGCAGAGCCGAGGGGTTGGCGAAACGTGGCAGTCTGCGTCGAGCCGTGCTGGCGCTCGAGTCAACACCCGTCTGTACACCGTGCCCAGAAATTCTAGACGAACTCCGACAAAAGCATCCACCAGCGGGAGACGAACAGCTGACCTGGCAAACAACCGACGCTAAGCCCCTGTGCATTTCCCACGCAGAATTTGCGAAGCTCCTCGGGAAATGCGAGAACGGTGTCGGTGCCGGACCGTCGGGTACAACATTTGAGCACCTGCGCGATGCTGCAATAACCAATGCATCCGTCAGCACCCATCTGCACGCCCTATTGAATACAATTCTGGGGGGCAACCTCCCAGCTTCGGTGGCAGACCTGCTAACAGCGTCTCGGCTCATCCCTCTGGCCAAACCAGGGGGGGGGGCCCGACCAATCGCAATTGGAGAATGCCTAACGCGGCTGGCTGCCAAAGCTGCGCTCTTGGTCATGGGGGAGGCTGCACGTGACTTCTTCCTACCTCTACAGTACGGAGTGGCGGTGCCCGGTGGGGCTGAAGCG